CGTGCTAATGAGCTGGAAGCAGCAGCTGCATCTGGTAACTACCGGAAGCTCTTCCAACTCATCCGAGCCACTGGCAGCAAGAAGTCTGATGTGAGTGAAACAATCTGCGAGGATGATGGGATGCCAATCACTAACATCCATCGACGTCTCGGACGGTGGACAGGATTTTTCGAAAGGCAGTTCAACTAGCCTACTGCTCCGGCAACATCGGTCAGACTGTCCTGCCCACCATGACCGGTGACGTCTGATCCACCAAATGAGGCGGAAGCCCGCAAGGAACTCCAACTCTTGAAGCGTTACAAATCACCTGGCCCAGATGACTTACCTCCGGCTCTTTTTAAAGATGGTGGTGACTTTCTGACTAAGGAATTGACGACGTTGTTTACAAAGGTTTGGGAACTAGAGAGTGTACCAACGTCATGGAATGAGTCGATAGTTGTCCCTATCTTTAAAAAGGGTTCACGTCGTTCCTGTAACAACTATCGGTGGATAAGTCTACTTCCGATTGCATTCAAGCTATTGGCTTCCGTCATACTTCGTAGGTTGTTCAAAACCCGAGAATGATTGACTCGCGAGGAGCAGGCTGGGTTTCGTTCTGGTCGACGATGTATTGATCATATCTTCACCCTCCACCAAATGTTAGAACATCGCCATACTTATCAAAGGCCAACAATCGTAGTGTTTCTTGAAAACAGGTCAGGAATGCCTTCGATTCGTTGGACAGGACTGTTCTCTGGGATTGTCTATTGAAGAAGGGTGTGTCTGAGAAGTTTATTAACATTCTAAAAGCCCTATATAAAAACACCTCAGGCAGAGTGAGGGCATACAACCACCTCTCTCCATTGTTCCATTCGAGCAGTGTGGTTAGACAGGGTTGCCCAATCTCACCATTCCTCTTCAGCTTTGCCATCGATGACATTCTGGAAACAGCTCTGATGGATGTTAGTAATGGTGGTGTGGATCTGTTGCCTGGAGAAAGACTTCTCGACCTTGAGTATGTGGATAATCTTGTCTTACTGCGCGATAATGCCCAAGGCATGCAATCCGCACTTAATCAGTTGGCAATCAGTGTCCGTAGGTATGGTATGTGCTTTGTACCTTCGAAGTGCAAAGTACTTCTACAAGACTGGCAGGATTCCAATCCTGTACTCACCCTGGATGGTGAGCAGATAGACGTAGTCGAGAAGTTCGTGTATCTGGGTAGCTGCATAAGTGCTGGTGGGGGTGTGAGTGATGAGATCAATGCACGTATAGTGAAAGCCAGAGCGGCCTATGCCAATCTGGGCCACCTTTGGCGCCTTCATGATATTAGTTTGGCTGAAAAAGGTCGGATCTACAACGCGTCGGTGAGAACAGTTTTGCTCTATGCTTGTGGAACCTGGCTTCTCCGAGTTGAGGACGTTAGACGACTCTCTGTGTTCGATCATCGCTGTCTACGAAGGATTGCTGACATTCAGTGGCAGCACCATGTCAGTAATGCAGAGGTTCGGCATCGTGTGTTCGGGCACAGAGATGATAACTCAATTGGTGTCACCATCTTGAAACACCGACTTCGGTGGCTTGGACATGTTCTCCGAATGTCGTCCCAGAGAATTCCACGTCGTCCATTATTTGCCGACTCTGGGACTGGTTGGAAGAAGCGGAGAGGTGGTCAGTGCATGACATGGTGTCGTGGCATGAAAGAAAGCTGCGAAGGACTGGCTTGTGTTGGTCCTTCACGACTCCCTGGTTGGGGTCTGGGAGATGGTGCCACACAGTGGCTAGAGACGTTATCAGATATGGCTCAGAATAGAAGCCAGTGGCGATCCTGCTGTAACCTTCTTTTACTTTCTTCATAAAAAATGGTTGTATCTCCCTTACCTGAAAGATTTCTTCTGATTGTTAGTCTTACCATCCCTGATTAGTCGTATATGAAAATCGTATTCACTGACAGCCATTAGGGAAATGTCACTGCGAAAGCTAGCTTCTACGGTTTCCTTTTCTTCAACATTATTTTCACTTAACCACCTCACCCTTTATGTCTCCGCAATCTGGCTGTGTCTTCAGCAGCGGTTACTGAAAATCGGCTGGGTAGTAAGCAGTGTTTTACCGTGTTTTCGGCGTTAATTTCCACTCGACTAATTTAGGGCTAGCGATACCGGTGGGTAGCTGGAGAGGCTTTATGGGAGCTTTCAAATATGTAATTCAATTGTTCTAGGTGTCGTGCTAGCCACCAACCAGTTGCTCTAGAGGTGCTCACGTCGATGTCATTAAATGATTTAATACCTATCACTTGTGTCCAGTAAATGCGTAACAAGATAGGTTACTACAAGTTTCGTTGAAAAGTTGATTCTTAATCACAATCTAGAAGCTTTTTCATTTGTCAGGCAAGGTGAAGTAACTTCAGTAGAATTCGGCACAATGACTCAGTATCTCAGATTGAATGAATACATAGATAAAATATGACACCACAGCATAGGAACAAGAATTGGTCAGAAAAATAATGCTTTTTATTGCTAATTTTAAGCGCCGTTTCATCCATATAATCTACCACTGAACACATTTTATTGTTTTGTCAAGCAACTCTGTAAAAAACCGATTGTTTCTATCTTGAAATCTAACACACTAAGCACACACTAAATTCCTGACTGCACTTATAGTATCAATTAAACTTGAGTAGGTTGAATAGCTGAATACTCCAATGTCTTACTAATGACTAAAAGCTATTAGTTGTTAGCTGGTTTTAACGTCTGAAGTGTATACTGCAATATTAAGTCCTGCAGTCTAGTGAATATTGTTCTAAACGTGATAGATCTAGATTCAGCATCACAGAATTTCGAGAAATAATTATTAAATGGTGATCATTAGAGGGGTTTCGATCGGTATATTTTTCTTCATTGATATGATTGTTGTTTAAGTAATACTAGAATACAGCAAGCCAAAAAACAGGCGTTCAAATTTAAAGTAAAGTGTGTTGTTAGGATCTTCATAGAATATGAAGCCCTAAAACTTTGATGCACTCCAAATTCGTCATAAGCATCCCACTTACAACAGTTTTTGGGTTCTTTGGCTGCTGAATAATACCCTAATAAAGCTGAGTTATTCTAACTACGTAGAAACCCTGGAATATAGAATCTTCTCAATAACCTGTGAAGTTGAAGGAGATAGACTAAGTTATAAGATAAAAAGGTAGTTCACTCGATTGGGTCTTTGTGTCCCCTATGTTTCATTACTTTAGTACGAACGAGGGGACTTGAATCTAACTAATTTATATGACGTTTTACACTGTATCTAAACACGTTCCGACAGGCACTAGGTTACACCAGTATTTCACAGTTTGGGATTTCCTGTAAAGGTAGAAGCGCGTCAGAGGTCAAAACACATCAATGTCTCATCTAGTGCATACGACTGCTAATAAAAAAACTACAGCTCCTGAACACACATTTTTCATTTTATTTACGTTTTTCTACCTGTTTTATATGCATATAGAAGTTTTTTAGTGTAAGCGAAAAGTAGGACCTTGTTAAAATGTTTTGTGCTGGAAATTCAGTTGTGCACAGTACTAAGTACTGAATAAATGGATTATTGTTATTCTATAAAATATCATAAATAACACCATCGCGGTTATGTTCAAACTCGCTTGACACTTTAGTTTCTAGCGTCCAAGTGCGTATTCATTGATTTAACATCACAAGATGATTAATTCATTTTTATTGATTTGGCTATGCTAATGTCAGTAGTATAGATGTCATGTGACTAGTGCGTGGAATTTATGTCAAATAAAGTAATTAGTATCCATAGTTTAATAAAACGAATCTTACTGAAAAAGTAATATACAGATTTGTGTATTGAGGATAGAAAACCTACAATCTGTGTTTGTCCTAATCTAGTAAGCTTCTGAGTGTCTGGTTTTCTTTTAGATTAGTGAGTTGAAGAGGTAGACACCACTTTTAGTAACAGGTTTCAAGAATCGATGACTCAATAGTCACCGTCTGTACTTTTCTCAAGATATCCGAGTCACCTTTTAATACAGAGGCTTGCAACCTAAACTGAGTTTTCAAGTTTGGATGTCACTAAGGTTGTATATACTGTAGTGAACATATTAGTATCTAACTTGGTAAACGTCCGTCTTAAAGCCCATAGGGTTTTGAACGCCTTAGCTGCTACCTCAAAGCAGTAGACCGTGGTCTTAATATCGTGGCTCATTTTCATCTGAAGATCCAGATTATGGGCACTGACTTCCCCTGTGCTATATATATTTACGTTTGTATCCGCAATGTGCATGTAAACATATTTAGCCATGTTGATAGGCACCAACCATTTTTTAGATCAGCTAATCATAACATCGAAGTCTAGCTGAAGTGCACATGCATATACTCCCCCTACTACTTGACTCGATTTTTACATCAGCGAATGGTAGCATAGGTGACTTAACCATATTTGGGAGTTCATTTACATACGGTATAAAAAGTAAAAGACCTAGGACAGAGCATTGCAGTACTCCACTAAGTACTGGTTTCCAGGAGGAGCATTTGAAATTCATTTTTTCTGTCTACGACCTACCAAGAAATCGTTGGTCTACTTTGGGAGAGGTCCGGCAATTCTTGAATTTTCCAGCCTCAAGAGTAGTTTATATTTTTGGCACCTTATCAAATGCTTTGCTGAAGTCTACGTAGATAACATCCACTGATTTTCTGTTATGTAGAGCCTTTGTCCATTGATTTCGCTTTAACGGGGCTTGTTATGCAAGATAATCTTTTCTTGAAACCATGTAGTTCGCTGTTTAACAAGTTGTTGGTTTCCACAGATGTCATTCTAGTCTTTTTGATTATTCTCTTAACTACGACACTGGTGAAGCTAACAGGTTTGTAGTTTCATGGAAGTTGTTTCGATCCTGTTTTGTCCTTCTAGTTCGTAGGTAACTCACCTTAGCCAAGTGACATATTGATTATCGTAGTGAGTTATAGTATCACTATTGTTTTTCTCTAATAACAAAAGGCATTTCATATTATTAGTTTTAGCAGGTCACAGAAAAGTAACAAAGATGCCTAGTGTGACTACAACAAGTACTGTCAGTTCATCAGGAGTTCGTTTAATGCGTAAAACTTCATGTACTGGTACCAACGATCAAGCTAATAATTCATCGTTTCAACACAATCCTGACAGAAAATCACTAAGAGATCAACCAAATGTAGGGAAATATAAGTTAATTCGTACACTTGGTCGTGGTAATTTTGCAAAAGTCAAATTAGCACAACATGTTTCAACTGGACGTGAAGTAAGAATTCAAACATTATTGAGTTTTACAGATTATGTTTTATGAAAATCACTTAGGAATTTTCTAATTCAATTTGTATATTAATTTGAATAGTTTTTCTCTAAAACTGATATTCACCTGAATATAGCTCGTTGAAAATAAGTCAGTGTTAATCCACATAAAGTATTCAAGTATTCCATTCGATTTATATGCAAACGACATTGTCATTGAAATGTAAAGTAGAACAGCATCCTACCATGTTAACACACTTCACTCCATCGTATATGTAGTTGATCTAAGACAAACAACTTCATCATGCAGAATTAGTTTCTGATTATCATTTCAGATTTCATTACCAGTTTGATTTAAACTATTTATCAAATTACTGTATAGATTGAAGACTTCCGAAATTTGTATGGTAATCATTGTTTATGCTTAACCAGTTATTTATTTATTTTTCTTTTAAGAAACTAAAAACCTCCCCCATTATATTATTGCAGGTTGCTGTGAAGGTGATCGATAAAACTCAGCTTAATCAGGCCAGTTTGAAGAAGGTAAGTTAATTAATTAGTGTAACACTAACATGCAATTCATTTACTGAGTACATATTTGTTTATTTTTTTTCAGCTTTAAGTTACTGTAGTTAGGAGGATGGTGATTTTATCCGACTGCTCAAACTCAAGTTAAACTTGAATTTGTAACCTACTAATTGAAAGTTATTAATCTGTCATCTCTCCTATTGACTTCATTCAATCAATCAGTCATCATCACATAGAACCTGGTACATATGAGTATCAGTTCGATATACCACATTATATGAAGACAAAGATAAAATTTTTGAATGCGGATACCAGAGTAGCAGACGTAGTAAAATTATTGTTAGTAATAGAAAAGATTAGGTATAAATGTTATATTTTAAGAAAGAACAAATTTACGCAGTGAAGAGTGTTAGGTTATTTTAAAACTCAAGAGATGACTAATATTAAATATTCACTATTGGTACTTGATGTGAACCATTTCACCTGATATTTTCAACTATTCGTTATGATTATTACCCACATACTAATCAAGTAGCCTACATCTGCTAATGTGGCCTAAGTCAATAGCTGTGATCCTATCTCATCAATTATATTACGCGTTCGTGCTCAAGACTGATAGTCCCTTGGTTCGAATCCCGCGAGAGGGAGGCGGGACCGTGGATGCGCACCGTTGAGGTGTCCCATACTAGGACGAAACGGCCATCCAATGCTTCCAGGTATTCTATGGTGGTCTAGTTTCAATCGACTGATGATTTCAACTATTGAAATATATTAAAATTCTTGAAGTAATTATAATCTCTGTACTAATTTTTAGTGGGAATGTTAGTTTTGCCTATTAGGTTAATATGCGTTTCACCATAGATGAGCCAGAGCTATTATGAAACTACTATCTTTCTTGCTCCAAGATACTGAAATACTATCAAGTAATAAATGGTATGGATCATTTCTGTCTCTCCGTGTGTGTGTATATAGATTTTCTCCCAAATTAATTGTCTGTCTTCCTTTATTATTATTATTATTATTATTATTATTACCTTTTCTAATCGAATTCGTTTTACTCCTTAGTTGTATGGTTTGTACATAAGCATGAAAGTAAGTGGGGAGAGAGAAAAAGTGAATGATTAAGAGATGACAACTAAGGCCAATGGGCCAATATGTATATTACAGAATTCCACAAATAATTAAAACAATAGGCTGTCTGTCAAAAAATCAATAACAATAATGATAATAATGATAAAGTCAATTTGACACGTGTTGCTATCTCTCTCCCTTTTTCTCTCTCTCTCTCTCTCATTCTCTCCTTTCATTTCTGTCACTCACGAATATTCACACAGAGATAAAGAGAGAGAGAGAGAGGTAGAGATAAAAATCAATTATATTTAATATCTTTTCATTGATTCTTTTTTGTGTTTAACAATAACTATACTCTCTTTATCCATTGTATAATATGGAGTATTGATAGTATTATTATTGTTATTATTACTACCGGAAAAATGTTTGACATTTGTTTCACATTACTTATACGGTTAATTAAAGTGTCCATTGAAGCTAGATCACCATGAAAAACCTGGAAGTACTAGACAGCAGTTTCGTCCTAGTATGGGACACCTCAGCTGCAGTGCGCATCCAAAATCCTGCCCCGCGAGATTCGAACCCAGAACCTATGTGTCTCGCGCGCTTCTAAGTTGACTTTCAAACTCGAAAATGCTCTGATATGGCTGAGAGTAGGGTGAGCCAGCTCTTCTTCTCGAAACGCTCTCACATGGCAACGTGCATACAATTACTGTCACAGAAGTCCTACTCATTGCCTTCTTGTGGCACTACTGTTGTTTACAAAATTGACAGCATGGAAAGCGAATATTCGGCATTTGAACTGGGTTAGTGGATATGAAGGATCCACCTAGTTGAGTTGGAAAATCTTGATTCCGACCCAATGGATTTATTAAGTCACAATTTAGTCTGTTTCTTTGTTTAGATGAATTTGAATATATTACTGATTGATTTTAGTTTGAAAACCATTGGTAATCTAAAAACATTGTAATGTTATCGGACCTTGTTTAAATCAATCTAGTTTGCGATATAAATGACGAATTAAACAATAAATAAGCTGATTTGATTAGGAATGTATTACTCTCAGATAGTGAACTTCATACAGATTAGTCTTTTGAAACAATGAAGTAATGAATAAGTTTATATTCATTGAGTAAGGTAGCTGGTATATGTTATAAGTGCTTAACCATCCCTTATCTGTATGGCCATAGTTAATCGATGTAAGAGTAGGCTATCAAATGGAACTAGCTCTCATAGAGTGGATCCGAGTAGATAGTCATTAGTGCGCTGTCCGACTAAACGGAACAATAAGGACTCGAAAAGATAGGGACACTCGTCGTTGTCTCTGCCTATTCTCCCACTGACTGCAGCTCAGATGATGTAAAAGATGACTGCCTCGACGTGCGATATTCAGTGGTATAGGAGTAGGTTGGAAGAAAGCTAGGGGTGGCCAGACCAAAACATGGCACAAGTTCATGAAATCACTGACAAGTGGACTGAGTCATATTGGTAAGTGTAGACTACCTGGTTAGGGATCGCGAGATGATAGCAACCGATGGTTAGAGACCCTGAATGACATGGCTCAAAATCGTTTGCCATGGTGTGAGCAGGTGCATCCACTCTTTGTGTTCTCCCAAATTTTAATCTCCTGATTCGTCCCTGTCTGTTTTTTCTCTTCCCAAATTTATTTCACTGGATTACACATTAAATAACATCTCCAAACCCTAATCTTCCCGATTACTGCTTATACTCTTACTACCTTTACCACTACGGGATTTGAATCGACAACTGCATCTCTGTGCTAATGTGGTATGGCAACTCGAACTGATGTACGTACGTACGAAGTTCTACGTTGTTACTGACTGACTGAAATCTCATTTACTATGGAGAAAGTGTCATAGGTTCGATTGTTGCTTCATGTATTTTAGGCAGGCAGTCAGTCAGGCAACATATCTAACTCTTATATTTAATGTATCATCCAACAAGATACTGAGTACGGGAATCTGTATTTTATTCTACCAGGTTACATTGAATAATAATACTTTCTTGATCATCAAAAAATAACTATTTTTTGGATTATTCAACTTTCTTTTTATACTTTTTCCCTTTCAATATCAGCTATTCCGAGAAGTGAATATAATGAAAATGTTAAATCATCCAAACATCGGTAAGATACAATTTTGTTTATGGTTATTATTATACAATAATCATATATGATCATTCAGTCATTCAGTGATTGTAACCATTAGTACATAATCTCATCATTGATTACTGATCCAATTTTATCGATTAAGTCATATAGCCATTAATTTAAGTAACTTGACACATGGCTGTATACTTTATATTAGCTGGTAAGAGAGAGAGAGACGTTACTATTGATTTATACAGGTTAACACAGGTTCGAGCTGTCCAGGTTTTTGGATACTCCCTACTAATGAATACCAATTACCAAGAAATCTAATATCAGGACATACTGTTTATTGCCTAAAATACTTTCATCTAACATTTGTATATCATTAAACTTAAATTGTAGAAAATTCTAGTTTCAATTGTGTTGTTAGAATGAATTGATTTAACATGGAGTTGATAATAGTTCGGTTCGATCGTATGAAGATTCATCGCTAAGACGACGACGACATGTCACTGATTAGTGGAGGTGTATAGGTTTGCTTTTAAACCATTCAATATTTAATCAATAGATTCCATATTCGAACCTCACTCGACATATTTTTGTTTGAACAACTAGCTAATATGATGAAACCCCTCTTATCACAAACAGCTTGACTCAAGATCAAGTGCATTCAAAAGTTGCTAATATTATCGGTTTAAGTGATTTTGCTTGGAATTGATTAATTCAATTAGTGGTAGTGATCAATGGAAATGCTATTGTAAAATGGAGTTGCCAGGGAATTATTTGATTTGAGTTTGCTGCTCAATTATTCCTATTCACAATAATCATGTCTAGTAAAAAGGTGATGATGAGAACACTTCAATGAACATATGTTATTTCTTCATGTTTCCATGATAGTTGTCTAGTTGATGATAAGGCGTTGAAAACCATAGTTATAATTGTGTATATTTGTGTTGTCTGATTGTGGTTGTATTATTATTTGTTTAAAAAAGGTAGAAATGAGAAAGGCAATGTAGGATCACTGTTCTACTGATATAATGTCGTTTCTAACTGGTCTAACAATTACAGTTATTTTCTGTGTTTCTGTGTGAAATTTTCAGTCTAATTTATAATCTATACTTTTTATATTGTGAATTCATTTGTTCATTCTTTTTCTTTGTAACAGTATAGATTTTTATGACCCCATTTTGGCAACTTTTACCACCCGTAGTGTTGATGACATGTTCATATCATTTGCTCATCAGCAGTATCGTCTGTTTTAATTTATAGACATAAAAATGAAATTTATAAATAACAGACACAAATAGGCCAGAAGGTTTTAACCGTAGATACCTTCGAAGGATTCCTCACGTATATGTGTGTGTGGTGGTGGTGGGCAACAAAAATTGATTAATGCGGTGGTTCAATATGATTTACTTAGGTAACGATAACGAGTGGTTTGATAGGGTGGGTGGATGTGTACTAATCTTCATTGATTGAGATAGCTGGAGTGAATTTTACACAGACACAATCATCATTTACACAAGTTGTGGGTAAAAAAAACAACAGAGGCGGTAAACCAACATCATACATGATGATTTTAATCCCGTTACACAACCGAAACTCGAACCAAGAGCAAACAATATGGAAACTGTTGCGTTTAAAAAAATGCACAAAACTGTGGATAGCCGTTACAGTAATTGAATTACAGTGATTATAATGATAAGTACAATGAACGTTAAAGATATATGTGAACATTTCAGAATGTCACAGTACAACTCCAGTTACAACATGAGTTTGAAAGTTGTTCAGAATACAACTGCTTACTGAATATAAATAAGTAGTATAAAACTATACAAAAGAGTAGAAAGGGAACAATATAAGACAAACTTAACACCACCCCCTAAAGACAGCATGTCTTTCCTTACTTTCGCTGATTAGGTATTAACGTAAAAACATTCAGAGGTAACAATGGTACGATTTACTCTAACCACAGTCACTCTGAAAAGTCTCTCCATCCTCTACTGTTCGGTCGTCAGCTCCTAATAAACAAATTTTACGTGTCTCTAATAATTGTACCTTTCCACGTTCTGATCTTCGCTTGTCTTACCAGACCATCTCCTCCTGAGTCAAAACTTACCACGAGGCCTTTAGGTAAGTTTTTTCGTGCATAAGTGTCTCCAATAATCAAGAGTAGATCGCCAACTTGTAAATCTCGTCTTCTTTGTGTCCATTTTGTTCGCGTCCGTAAGAGTGGTCTATCATTAAGTATTCTTTCTACTTCAGTCAAATGGGTGGTGAGTGTCTCGTAGGACATAGATACTGCGCTTAAAAGTCTATGTATGCTTCCCATTAATCTTTCCCATACTCCATGATGGCTTGCGTAGGGAGTATTGCGGTGCCATTCTATGTTCCGATTAGTCATTTCTTTAACTACTCTACTATCCTTAAAGTCTGGTAATAGATGTTGTATCTCCTTCTCTAACCCAACTAAAGGGGACACAGATGTAGTTGTCTTAAACTCCTTATCGTCATCAGGAGACTGAATGAAACAATCATCTTTCTGACTCCCTGTTTCACACTTGATGTCCATAGAACTCTCAGCAGACGCCAGTATAGGACATACAAGTTTCGTATTTGCAGAGAACTGAGTTGTTGAGATATGTAACTCAACACTTAAAATAACTAACAGTCATGGTCTCATAGTCCTTAATCAGGCAGTTTGCATCTACCAGACCAACACTCAGTGATTTTATGGTCTAGTACCATGTCTCATGTCTAAGTGCAAACTCGGGGACAACATTGCTCAACGTTCGATGAATATGAAGAATTCTGACCACCTGAAATACATGGGTAGATCAATATACACAAATCTAGTGAGACATTATGGATGGTACACCAGTTTGCTTACAAACCTAATTTTTTTGGTTAGACAGGCAACAAATGAGGGATACGAGCACTACCTACACTACTACATAAAGCCATATGAAACGAACGGACTAGCATGTTTGAAAGTTTGATAAATATCAACAGTACTAATGGGTAAAAGGAATACAGACAACCGATTATCACGATTATGTAATGTGTTAGTAGACAGCTGTTAAATAACAAGCCTTTCTAGATTCACATGGTACTTCTAAAGACAACATATAAACGCTTACATTTCTTAGTGATACTATGAAGAGATTTTGAGAGCTATCAAAAGAAGCTGAGTTCCGAGAGAAATACCGAACTTCATATACTTAATCACATGAAACACAAACCCCAAAGAAATCGGTACTTCCCTGTTCCTGTCAAAATACTTTAAAGTCACATTAAACATTTATCATGCATTGCTTTACTGGTTTGCAAATAATTAGGAATTCGTATTGAAGAGTAAAAACGGATATTTACCGCATACATATTAGACAAGTGAACACCAATTCAATTCAAGCTTATCACAAATATCCCGGGTTTAGAATTGTGAGTACTGTGAGGATTGTTCATTTTAAATAGACAAGTAGCTGTGTGTCAGTAAACTAGATGTATGGAGAAATCAGCCATTATCAACTCAGCAGTTAAAATTTTTGGGACTGAATAACTGTCTACAAAGTGGTGTACCCCATGCACCGTCTCAGGCTCTTTGCCCTTCTTTTTCTACGTTAACGAGTTGCCGCTGTTGCTTAAGTCATCGACATTATTATTATTATTCACAAACATCTTATGGGTACATAAGTGTTGTGAAGAAACCATTTCGGGTTTCTTCAAAAAAATGCAATAATACACAAGTTTCAATAATGTCAGCATTCTACTTGCCATTTAAAAAAAATTTTGAGCAATAATAGTAGAATATTAATAATAATAAATCGGGTCTGTGCAATTGAGAAGAATGTTGAATTGGGTTTAAAGAAGGAAATGGAGAAAATAAGGGAATAGAAATAAAGGAGACGTGAAATACGCAAAAAGTTTAATTGGTGTGTTTATGAACACAGAACAAGAACAAACGTCTATGTTTGTGTCGTCAAATTAGTAACAAAAAATAATTAAGAAAAAACAACTTATTATTGTAGTAAGATATGACACTAGAATAAATGTTTGTGCAGTCATAGTTTAGAGTGATGCGATGAAAGTCTTAATTGAGTGAAAAGGATAATGAAATATCAATATGTATGAGTAGTCCTATATGCATAGTGAAGATAAAACGAATCTGAGAAGTTAATTTAAATGTAACACAAATTATTGTTTTAATTACAAACTTCGTAATCTTAAGAATAATAGTTATTTAGAAGGAAAAGAAGAGAGAGACAAGAGAAGTGGATACCTAGTGAAAAGTTTTGATCCATGATAAGAATAATAATTGTGTAATGAATATCAACCTCAGAAGGAAACCAACAATTTAGAAAAATAAAATAAAAATCCTTTAGGGCACTCGGATGAATACCATGTAGATTTATGTAATAGTATACAGAGTGAAACCGGATATTAGTATAAATATTTGTGCAATAATAATTAAGATTAATGCTGTAAAAGTCAAAATTGATTTTAAAAGACATTTAGAGTACTGTATGCAAGCAGCTGGCTCGAAATTAGTGAAGTGTATCTCTGAATTCCCTTACGATGAGCGTTTAAAACGACTAAATCTTTTCCCCTTGTCGTATCGTAGGACACGAGATGACCTTATACTGGCATTTCGTATCTTTAATTATGATTTGGGTGTTAATATGTCTTATCTTTTTGCTCCCTCTAGCACTAATAATCTCCGAGGTCATAGCAAGAGTGTTCATAAACCACGATCTAATAAACTTAAAGTGTGGTTCCGTTTTTCTCATCGAGTGGTCAATGATTGGATCACCTAACCCGAACAAGTGGTACCAGCCCCATCAGTGAATATATGCAAGGAGAAACTGAACTTTCACTGGAATACAATCTGTCAGGATTAGCACAGGTTCATCAACCTATTATCCTTAATACTGAGGACTAAAGGAGTTCAGGTCAGGAGGAGAGCACTAGCTGGACTAGAAACCCGTCGGCAGAACGGTGAGGAGAATCTCCTGCTAGTGGGTTTTCGGTTAGTCAGGTCTTGGAAGCGAATGCTTTCAAGACCTATATGGATAGGCCGTTCTACTTAGGAGTTTTATATCTAAGACATAAGTTCTATGAAATAGAAGCATTAGTGGACAGACTAAAGCCACTCATTGAAGCAGTGATGGAAACTTGGTTAGTCCATGACTTAGACATCACTCCAGAATTATCCGAATACCATTACCTCAGAAGTGATAAACATAGGTGTGGAAAAAGATGTGGCTTCCTGTCATATATAGCCAATAATATAAACATCCACTCCTCTGCTAGCGAATCCCATGATATCGATACTTTTGAAGTCATAAGCTATAAATTGGCTATTGGATGTAGTACATTTATACTCGGTGTCATCTATCGCAGTCCGATCCGCTCAGCTGATGACTTTATTTTAGAGCACATTCATCTTTGGAGTGCAAATACCAGATGCTTGATAATAGGAGACTTTAATGCACTTGATATTAGTTGGACTGAGATGATCACGGAAGAATCTATAAACTCCTTAGATAGCAGGTTCCTGGTAACAATAATGGAGCATGCACTAATGCAGCATGTATCCAAACCCACACGCTTTGGTGCTAACCAAGGTTCTTCTCTGTTGGACTTGCTAATCACTCATGATAGTGAGGATATTGTCGACCTAACTATTCTTCCACCGTTAGTGAACAGCGATCGCTCTATTTTGTCATTCACCTTTAGAACAAGGGAAATGTTATACGATCAGATTACACCCCACCCAAATGTATGCAAAGCCAGAATATCAGCCACTCAGGAATGCGCTGCTATACAGATTGGTTTGTAGATACCAGCTTATCAGTTGATGAAGTATGATCTATATTTAATGGTAGGTTTAGTTTAGTTACGTCCTCGTTCATACTATACGTGTTACCGCGAAGACCGAATAACAGTCCACCATGGATGACTAAAACAGTCAGGAAACTTCTTAGGAAAAGAAAGAGGCAGTGGAATATGTTCATCTCTACTGGCTTAGAACAATACAGATCAAATTATTGTAAGATTAGGAATGCCTGTAAAGCGTGAATAATTAAGACTGGACGATCATATGAAAAACAATTGGTTAGGGATTCTAGATAT